AAAGAAGCAACTGGTGCAAGCTGGCTGAGCTACCGGTAACGGATGGGCATCGTTCCGGTAAGCTACCTGCCGGCTGCTGTGCACCAAAAAAATACTATGCAAAATTATATAAGGCTAAATAATGAGATCGTGGTTGGAGGGGGAGGCTAAGAGGGATGGGGTGGGACAAAGAAACTCACAGCACGAACGCCACTGAGGTCTGCTCCTAGCCATATCAGCAAGTGTGTCCAACCAAACGTGTTCATCGTCTTTCGGGCCCCAACCAGGGAGCCGAGACGTTCCAACCGAGGCTAGCTCAGAAGTGAGGGCCTTCATTCCCCTGGACCAAGTCATCGCTTGGCCACCCCTCCTCTTCTTCCATCCACACCCCCGGCGCGCAAACAACACACGTCGCGGGAGTCGGTGGGCTGGCATGCGTAACAGGTGGCCGAGCCATCGGAGCCTGATGCATGAAATAACGGTGCTGAGCGGTTTAGTTCCTTTTCCCGTGCCATAAACAAGGCGGCGAACACGTTCGTTGCTCACGCGGTGTTCCCACCAGATGTGAGCTAAATTGCGAAGGCACCGGTGGTCGAACGTAACCAGTGTCTTCAGGTCCGCTGCTTTAAGCGGTCAGGTTTCACAACCGTACAGTAGGGTCGAACGTACCGCTGCGTTGTACACTCTACCCTTCAGGGCAAGAGGAATGTCGCGCCGCCGCCATAAGTGCCGAAGATTAGCAAAAGCGCCCCCGAGCTTTTGCTATACGATTCGTGATCACATCTTAAATCCCACGGGCGCTGATACAACTCCCAAGGTAGTTGAATTTTTGAACGACTTCTAGCTGATCCCCACCAAGGGTCAGCGTAGGAGGCGGTCCAGACCAAGCTTAGAGGAACGCTTTGCACTTCGAGGGTGCGAAGCAAAGCCCGAAGTGACGGACAGCTAGTGCTAATCTGTCCAGTGCCGCATGGCACGTCTGGGAGCTGTCACAGATTAGGGCAATATCATCAGCATACTCGAAGTCTAGAAGTTGTTCTCCTGGGAGCAGATCCACACCTTCTAAGTCGTGTCCTGTAAACGCGATTTCCATGACTTCGTCAACAGCGAAGTTGAAGAGGAAAGGTGACAGTGGGCGTCCTTGTCTCACGCCGCTAGAGATATTAAAGGGCGACGATAACTTGCCGTAAGCCCTCACTCTGCCAGAGCTACGCGCATATAATGCTCGGATAATATTCACATATTCCTCAGGTACACCTTTCCTGAGTAGACAGTCCCAAAGTGCATGCCTATCCACCGAGTCGAATGCACCTTTGATATCGAGGAACACGACAACGGTCGGCCGCCAATATATGTGACGGTGCTCCAACAACTGACACAAGGTGAAGATGTGGTCAATGCAGCCACGACCTCGACGAAACCCAGCTTGCTCTTCACGAATCTGGCTTTCACGAGTGCCAGTCAGTCTGTGAAGGATGACAGAGGCAAGCAATTCAGAGGCAATTGAGATCAGACTGATTCCTCTATGGCTGCCGCATTCCGATCGTGAGCCTCCTTTGAAAATTGGGACTATGACGGAGCGGCTCCAATCGGTTGGGACAGTTTCCTGCTCCCACAGTTTGACTAGTAACTCGTGTAAATCATCCACAAGAGCCGGTCCGCCGAATTTGAAGAGGGCTGGGGGAAGATCATCAGGTCCCGCGGCTTTGTTTAACTTCAACAGTTCGATCTCACGCTCGACTTCTGAGTGAGTGGGTGGATCCAAAGGGACAGCCCAGGGAGCAGGGCGATCAGTGGCCGTGGAGAAATCTAACCATTCCGACCGATTAAATTGCCTTTTAAAGTGTCCAGCCCAACGCTCTAAGCGTTTTGATAAGTTGTGGATAGGCTGTCCATTCTCGTCACGTATAGTTTCACTAACACCAGCTCTCCTGCTGCCCCTTTCCCGTATCAGACGGAATAACTTACGATGGTTACCAAGGGCAGCGGCCATTTCCATCTCTGATGCACGATGAGACCACCAGGATTCACGGTCTCTCTTCAGGCTAGCACGGAGTTTCGCCCGGAGCTCATTGCGAGTTTCATTGTGTTCGCTTCCAGCCGGAATATGCCGGCGAGCATCTATAAGTTCCAAAGACTGTGAAGAGACCCAATGTCCATGTTGGCGATTAGACATACGAAGTGCATACCAAATAAAGGGACCACTCTGAACAGGCAATTCAGGGTTGATTGTGCCGCCGCAAAATGGTCGAAAAGCAAGGCGATATCGTCCGCATAATCTAGGTCAACTAACCTTTCACCAGACAGAACTTTAACGCCTACATCGTGAGATTCCGTCAGGGAACACTCCATGATAGAATCCACGACGAAATTGAACAAAAACGGGGAAGTCGGACAACCCTGATGAACGCCACTTGTAGTCGAAAAGCTATCCGATAGGACACCACAGACCCTGACGCGGCCTGTAGTGTTCGAGTATAGAGCACGAAGGATGTTCGCATATTTCGTGGGAACACCTTTCCGCGCAAGTATTTCGAACAGAATCGATCGATCGACTGAATCGAACGCACTCTTGAAATCGAGGAACACAGCTATTGTCGGTCTGCGGTATGGGTGGCGCTGCTCTAGCACCTGCCGCAAAGTGAATATATGGTCTATACAACCACGTCCTGGGCGAAAACCGGCCTGCTCTTCCCTAACCCGAGATTGCCGTTCCGCAGTGAGGCGACGAACCATAATCGAGGCCAGTAATTTTGTCACAACTGGCGTTAGGCTAATACCCCTGTGGTTCGCACAGTCTGTGCGACTGCCCTTCTTGTATATTGCCACTATAATCGATTCGTTCCAATTAACCGGGACACTTCGTTCCAGATACGTTCGAATAGGGAGGTCAGTGCCCTGCAGAGGACCTCACCTCCATCCTTAAATAGTGCAGGTGGGAGGGAATCCGGGCCAGCCGCACGAAAACGATTGAGGGCTGTGAGCGCGTTTCGGATCTCGGCCTCCGACGAAGGCTCTAAACTAACCGTCCATGGTACGTTCTGCATCATCTGAGTAGGAAGAGGTCCGGGATCAGGGTGCCAGCTGAACTGATCTTCAAAGTGTTCAGCCCAACGAGCCATACTTCGCTCCTTATTGTGTATCAGTGCACCCGCGCTGTCTCTGATTGTCTCACTGACGCCTGGTTTCCTGGGACCAGTGGTGCGGATTAGCTGGAAGAGCTTCCGGTAATTGCCTACTGTTCCTGCCTCCATTTCTTGAGCCCGACTGGTCCACCAGGCTTCCTTGTCAGCACGTAGGCTCCGTTTTAGTTCACATTTAATAGCCTGTATGGTCACACTGTGTGTCTTCTAGCTTCCAACAGGTTCACGGACCTCTCGGATATTTAGTGACTAGTGCGGTGACGATGGATAGTGCCACAAGCAGATGCTCCTGCGTCGTGCATGGCAACCGAGATCCTATTCCACTGAAGTTCAGTGTCATTAGGACAAGACAGCGCGAGTTCGGTATGCAGTGCGTCTTGATAGGCTTGCCTGACCGAGGGCTGGGACAATTTCTCAGTTGCCAATCGGAGACGCTTTGTGCGCCTTCCGGTAAAGTTCATGGAGAAACGACAGCGCACCAAGGCATGATCAGAGTCGACGCAGGTACTCCAGTACGAGCAGCAATCCAGAATGGAACCGCGCAGTCAATTTGGGTCCATCGCTGGTCAGCTACAGGTGGACGCCAAGTGGCACTTCGGCGCCCACTGTGTCTAAAAGCAGTGCTACTAAGAAACAACTGGTGCTCCGCAAACAGTTGCAGCAGACGCTCACCGTTGTCAGTCCGTTCGGAGTTAAGTCCATAATTACCACCCAGCTGAGCTTCTGAAGAGCTCAGACGCTCTACTTGTGCGTTCATATCCCCTGCAAGTACCATAATATCTGAACTAGTGGCACTGCGTAGTAGGGCGTTCAGTTCGTGATAGAAAGTATCCTTGACTGCATTAGAGCTGCAGTCGGTGGGAGCATAAACGGAAATCACAAACAAACAGCGTTTTGTATTACTTCGTGAATCCACCTTAGCTGATGTCGTCAAACGGGCTGCACATAAACGGCTGTTCACCGGAATCCAATCAATCAACAATGGCTCATCCTTGGAGCTGAGAATGACACCTACACCAGCTTGACCCGTGAGTGCCGCATCGGCGTCTCCGGATGCGTGCAACCAATAACGAGAGGATAAGCCGGGTGCAGTCAATTCAATAAACCCGTTAAGGTCATTAATCCTAGTTTCGGACACACAACACACATCAACACCCAGTGTGTCCAAAGTGCGTGCGAGTGCAGCCTGCGGACCTGTTTGTCATAGAGTGCGGACGTTGAATGTCGCCATGGAAACCGGACAGCGTGGCCTTATAAGGGACTTTTGCCGATAGGCGTCCGATAGGTGCTGTGGGATGGTGGCTGCAGATGGTTCTACTCCAGTACCATTTCGGTTGCTGTCAATTAAACTGGGAATTATAGAAGGAAGGTTAGTAATGGGGGTCGGGATGGGAGTAAAAAGAAAAGATGGAAAAGAAAGGAGGCGCCAGCAGTAGCATGTTTTCGCTTACCCGCCCTGCTGTATGCAGCAGATAAGGCGAGCCTTGATAATCTGCCAAAAATACATTGGTCAACATTAATCGTCACGCCATACTGAGCAAATCGCTCGAAGATAAGACGGAGGTGTAATAGGTGTTCCTCATCGTTTGAACTGGCGACGAGAATGTCGTCGATGTAGGCGAAGACAAAGTCTAGCCCACTTAGGACTTGATCAATGAATCGCTGAAAGCTTTGGGCAGCGTTTCGCAATCCAAAGGGCATACGGACAAATTCATAGAGACCGAAAAGGGTAGTAATGGTGGTCATTGGGATGGTATGCACGAACTAGGTCGATTATAGAGAAAACAGACTTTCCGTGCAAGTTGGTAGAAAAATCATGGATATGGGAAATTGAGTATCTATCGGGAACAGTGACAGTGTTGAGAGCACGGTAATCGCCACATGGTCTCCAATCGCTGGTCTTCTTGGGTACCAAATGAAGCGGAGATACCCAGCAGCTTTTGGAAGGGCGTATGATCCCGAGGTTAAGCATGCGTTCGAACACTCTTGGCCGCTTGTAGTTTGTCCGGTGGAAGGCGTCTTGGCTTGGCAGACAGGAGGACCGGTTGTGACGATATGGTGACAGATGTCGTGCGTGGACTCTAGAGTGCCGTCATCTGCTCTAAGGAGGGAGGGAAATTGTTGCAGTAATGATGAGTAACGTGACTCTTTAGGTAGAAGTACTTGAAGCTTAATGGAATTGACCGTAACGAGCTGTCCGGAAACAGTTAACGACGTAGTACCATCTCGTAGCTTGCAACATCGCAGGTCTACGACCAGGCCGAATTTGGTGAGAAATCCAATACCAATGATGGGCTTCTGTACATCGGCAATTAGGAAGATGAAGGTGAAATTTCGTCGCAAACCAAGATTAAGTGCAAGCAGTCTCTGCATATGTCGCGATCTTGGTTTAGTTAGCTGCCTGTAAGGTAATTTCGGATGGTCGCAGAGCGCGTTTTTCTAAAGATCGAGGTATAACGCTTACCTCTGCGCCAGTATCAATCAAAAAGTGAAGTTTGGTGGTGGAATCGAAAACGTACAAGAGGCGACTAATGGTTTGGCCAGCAGCAGCTGTCGCCATCACTGGCTGGCGTTTTCGTTTCCCTGCCGAGAATCCAAAAACTTCTTCGGGTATTTACAACCCGGACGACAATTGCGAGCAGCATCGCCGAAACGGCGGTGGTAATAGCAGTGTGATCGCGATCGGTTGGTGCGGGATTGACAACGGCGGCCACTCCTTGAGTTGCATCTACGGTTAGCAGGTCGTTCACGACCGATGTGAGACACAGCGAGTTCTAACCGAGAGAGCCGTTCACTAATATCATCAAGCGCGGTACTTCCAGATGGACTATTGGTGCTCGGCGCAGTCCCATTATTCACAGCAGATTTAAAAAACCGTTCACGGACTTTGTCAGTCGCTTCGGCTAGTTTGCCTAACGGAAGTTCATCAGCAAGGACTGCTCAAATCGCCGTGGTGTTTGTTGGAAGGCAGTTAGTCTGGATCTGTCGGAGGATGGAATCGTCCAGGGTCGAGGAACCCACAAGTGAACGCATGTGCCGGAGGAGTTAAGACGGGCTGCGGTCTCCAAGCTCTATGCCTGAAAGTAGCATGTGTAGCCGTGCTTCATCGAAGCCGTAGTGCGTTTTAGAACGGCTGATTCAAGCTCGTCATACGGCGATTCAGTCGGCAGCGGCTCAAGAATATCGATCACCTCCGAGGCTATCCGTGAAGGAGGATGAGTGGTGACGTATGAAAACATCGATGGTTGCGAAGTGATCTGACGAAATCGGAAGATGGCCTCCAACTGAATAAACCAAACACGAGGGTTTGAAACATCAAGTTGGGTAACGAAAAGCCAATTGAGTTTTCACACGGTTCAGGGGGCAGCGTCATCATCATCATCATCATTACACGTTAGCTGGAGGTGGAAAACACCTCAGCTATTGTGCCGCAATACAAAAGACAAGAAAAGGAAAACAGTGGCAGTGGCACGCCCGCTGAGTCCCCAGTAACGGATGGACATCGTTCCGGAGAGCTAACAGCTGGCTGCCGTAAAAAGAGAATCATATTATGCCTAACAGGTGAGATCGTGATTGGAGGGGATACTAAACAGGACGGGGATGGGCAAAGGAAATCACAACACAAACGCCATTGGTGCCGGCTCTTAGCCATATCAGCAAGTGTGTCCAACCAAACGTGTTCATCGTCCTTAGGACCCCAGCCAGGCAGTCGGGATGCACCAACCGACGCCAACTTCGAAGTGAGGGTTTTCATTTCTCTCGACCAAGTCATCACTTGGCCTCCCCTCCTCCTCTTCCAACCGCACCCACAACGCGCAAACAATGCACGTCGTGGGAGTCGGTGTGCTGGCATGCGCAACACGTGGCCCAGCCATCGGAGCCTGGTGCGTGATATAATGGTGCTGAGAGGTTCACTCGCTCTTCCTGCACCAAATACGCGACGTCGAACAAGCTCATTGCTCACGCGGTGTTCCCACCAGACATGAGCTAAGCTGCGCAGGCAGCGATGATCGAATGTGACGAGTCTCTTCATGTCAGTCGACCTGATGGGCCAGGTTTCACAACCATATAAGAGAGTAGAACGGACGGCTGCGTTGTAAACTCTGCCTTTCAGGGCGAGAGTAATGTCGCGTCTGCGCCACAGGTGGCGGAGATTGGCAAAAGCACCTCGAGCTTTTGTTATGCGGTTCGTAACCTCATCTTCAATCCCACGGGTGCTAATATAGCTGCCCAGGTACTTGAATTCCTGAACGACTTCTAGCAGATCACCACCAAGCGTTAGTGCAAGGTTGGGTCCCTGCCAATCTTGGAGAAGTACTTTGCATTTCGATGGAGCAAAGCATAGCCCAATACGATTGACAGCCAATGCTAATCGGTCCAGTGCTGTTTGGCATGTTTGGAGGCTGTCACAGATTAGGGCAATATCGTCCGCATACTCCAAGTCAAGAAGTCGCTCACCAGGAAGTAGCTCCACACCTTCTAGGCCGTGTCCAATGAACGCTGTTTCCATGACTTCATCAACAGCGAAGTTGAAGAGGAAAGGTGACAGCGGGCATCCTTGTCTCACGCCGCTGGTGATACTGAAGGGTGGCGAGAGTTTGCCATAAACCCTCACCCTGCCCGAACTATGCGCGTACAGCGCTTTGATAATGTTTACATATTTATCAGGCACACCTTTCCTCAGCAGACAGTCCCAAAGGGCACATCGATCGACTGAGTCGAAGGCACCTTTTATGTCAAGAAACACGACAACGGTGGGCCGCCAATAAACATGGCGGTGCTCCAACACTTGACGCAATGTGAAGATGTGGTCGATGCAGCCCCGACCCCGACGAAATCCGGCTTGCTCTTCACGAATTTGGCTTTCACGAGTGCCAGTCAATCTGTGGAGAATGACAGAGGCAAGCAATTTAGAAGCAATCGAAATCAGACTGATCCCTCTATGATTGCCGCATTCCAAACGAGAGCCTCCCTTGAAAATTGGGACAATGACGGAGCGGTTCCAGTCTGTCGGGACTGTCTCTTGCACCCAAAGTCTTACTAGCAACTCGTGTAGATCATCTACTAGAGCAGGTCCCCCGAATTTGAAGAGGGCTGGGGGAATTCTATCTGCTCCTGAGGACTTACGCAATTTCAACAGCCGGATCTCACGTTGGACCTATGCGCGTGAGGGCGGATCCGAGGAGACGGCCCAAGGAGAAGGGCGCTCAATGCCCGAAGAAGAAAGCGATAACGCAGGTTTGTTAAATTGCCTTGCAAAGTGTTCGGCCCAACGCTCCAAGCGTTTTGACAAGCTGTGGATCGGCTGCCCACTCTCGTCGCGTATGGTCTGGCTAACACCAGGTCTCCTGCTGCCTGTTTCCCGTATCAGACGGAATAACTTACGATGATTACCAACGGCAGCGGCGGTTTCCATCTCAGAGGCACGATGAGACCACCAGGTTTCGCGGTCCTTCTTCAGGCTAGCACGTAGTTTTGCCCTGAGATTTTTGCGAGCCTCATTGTATTCGCTTCCAGCCGGAATACGTCGGCGAGCATCCATAAGTTCCATAGACTCTGTAGAGACCCAGTGTCCGGTTTGGCAATTTGCTTTGCCACATGAAGACACGCCTGCGGACAGTAACGTTTGACGAATATGCAACCAGTGATCTTCAACGGTGTTTAGTGGGCGCTTACCCAGCCCAGATGTCAGCGCACTATGGTATACATTCAGAACATCTGGCTTCGCCAACTGGCTGGTGTCAATCCGTTCACCTCGACGTTGCGGACGTCCACCAAAACGCACCCGGAGGTCGGCACAGACAAGTGCGTGGTCAGAGTCCACGCTCGTGCTCCAAATTGAGCGACAATTCTGGACACAGCCCCTCCAGCGGTAACTGATCGCGATATGATCGATTTGTGTCCATGGTTGGCCCGAGGCTGATGGCCGCCAAGTCACGCTTCTGCGGGTGCTGTGTCGGAAGGTAGTGCTCGCGAGAAAAGAGGCGAGCATCTTCACACAGTTGTAGCAATCGTTCACCATTATCAGTACGCGAGCCTACACCATGTTGGCCGCCCAGATGAAGCTCATCAGAGGACAACTTTCCGACTTGGGCGTTTAGATCACCAGCCAACACCACAGTATCCGTGCTTCTTCTGTAACGAAGGAGCTCGTGAAGTTGCTGATAGAAATCATCTTTTACCGAATCAGTGCTACAGTTTGTAGGGGCGTAAGCCGCAATGACAAACAGGCACTGTTTGTCCCCGCGCGACTTCGTAGCACGGAAGGAACCAGCTAATCTTACGGCAGCGTAGTCAGACATAAGGAAAAAAAGAGAAAAGTAATCAAAAAATTAAATAGACGTGGTCACCAAATATAGTGTCTGACAGAGAGAGTTATAACGCTGAAGGTTCGCTGTGAATGGGACCTTAGCTCGGTTGCGCAAGATCAGGTTACAGAAGGTAAAAATCAGTAAACCTGTCCGATGGCACGAACGGAGGAATCGAATGCTGATCGTAAATAGAGATCCGACGACTGATGCGAAGCACACACAACACCCGAAGGCGGAACAAAGTCACCGAAACCAGAAGAAGGAGTAGCTAATTTTTGAAAGGAAAAATTGGCCTGGAGGGTCAGGTCAGGTCAGATGGACGATAGAGGCTTCCGCCTAACGAGCGTCCAGTGCTTGTGCCGGTAAATGAAGCGGCCCCCGGCACTTCGACGTTGGATTGTCTCTTCTTGCTTCTGCAATGAAATGAAGCAAGAACAAAAGCAATATCTGCACTTTCATACGCCAGCAACAAAATACACTGCATATACCAGCACAATTACAATATCTCTGGAAAAAGGATGGACCAACAATTGTCTAAGCCCCTTTTGAAGGCTACTATGGTCTCAGACTCC